CAAGATGGCAGTGGTTTATTTTCTTTCTTTTTTTTTAAGCTTAATGACTGTACTCTCCAATGGCTTATAGCTATTTTTAGTCTGGCAAATTTCCTGAGTCTGTAAAGTGACCTTCTTGCTGTGTAGCCCACAGGAGGTCAGCATTGCCATTGCCCCATTTTTCTACAAATCATTTGCTTGAGTTTGGTCTGTGGCTTCAAGATCATCCTGGCATGTCATCGTCACCCTTTCCTTCCATGTCTAGAATGTCATGGAAATTATTTTCATTACCCCCACAGTCTATTTGGAACAATTTTTCTCTGTTGAACCCATTCAAAACTTCCTAAACGGCAGGAATTCTCTAATTCTTTCTCTGGCCCAGGACATATAAAACATGAGTGTATCCATGCCATGTACAATCTTAAGCAGTTTCACACATAGGAACTAATTTCTCTTAAACCTCTGTGAAGTGCAGGTGCTTGGCTTCAATTTGCCCTGAGGTCCTGAGAGCTGAAGAAATGTTCCCAGGGCATCCTCATCAACTTGTGTTTCTCTAGTAGTTTAAAGGCTAAATGCAGCTTTCTAAGAGTTGGTGCCTTTCTCCGTTAATCACCCAGTTAAGATGGTATTTCCTATAGCTTAATGTGCATTTTAGCATCAGAGAAGGTGCTGGAAGTCATTTTATGAAGTGGTTGGAAGGCAGAAGCAATTCTAATTTCAAGGTATCCTTTCTCTGGAAAATATGGGACACTGTTACTGGGACATTTAACTTTCTGGGCGGTTATCCCTGGCACTGAGAAACTAGACCAGAAAATCTCTTATGTTGTATGCAAGGAACCATGAAGGACAGAGTTTGAAATTTCAAGGTTTAAGTCTAATGATGTGATCCAAGAGTAGGGCATTTACATTCATTATGGTTGAACAAGATCCTGGGCTCCTTTGTACAGACAAATATTGAGGTTATGAAATAAATTTGTATTGGGTTTATGTTTTATGGCCTACAGTTTTTAATCCAGTTATGTACTGAGGCTGGTTTTATTTTTCTCTTATTTATTTTAGATCTAAGGTTCTGAAACGTTTTTATGTTTAATATTGGGCAGTTGACTCTGAAATGTGATGCATACACACATCAATCCCAAACCTAGTGATAACAAAAATACTAAAAGTGGGTGGCTTTAAAGAACAGAAACTTATCTTTTCACAGTTTACCACCACCAAGCTGACTGCAACTCATGCAGAGCAGAACGTGCTCCACAGGGTTTGCAGGGCTGGGATCAGATTACCAGGCCTTTCTTCTTAGGTGCCTCTGGGAAAGTCTGATTAGTAATTAAGCGCTTTGGTTAATAGTCAAGCGCTTAACTGTTTATGCCACTCAGGGACCCCTCTCACAGTTAGGAGACTGGAAGTCCAAATTCAGGGCACCAGTGATAGGGGAAGGCTCCCTCTCTGTTGGCTCCAGGGTTAATCCTTGTCTCAGCTTCCACAGCCCTGGCTTGTCTCAGTTCCTTGGTGATCCTTATGTGACATATATTTTCCCCATGTTTGTGCTTGCCTCTATGTTTAATCTACTCTTTTTATTAACTCAGAAGCAATTCGATTTAGGACACACCCTATACTTATACGGTCTCATTAACATAACAGTACTGTACTCCCAACTGGGATTGCATCCATAGGTATAAGGGTTAGGATTCCAATATAAATAAGTAAGTAAATAAATAAATATTTGTTGAGTGTGTATGTGCATAATTCAATCCATAACAGAAGTCAAGTAGGAATATTCAGCACTGGAACACACTTTGTGACTACCTTCTTGGTAGGGATTGCAGTCTGGAATAAACAGCTGTTCAACAGCATCTCAGGAGTTGCTTTGCTGGACAGCTTTCCAGCCCTGGTCTCACAGGCTCTTGACCCATCTTTTTGCTCCAGCTGTTGCTGCCAACTAGCTCTGCATAGGTGTAGCCGATACAGTAACTTGCACTGGGTGTACTTTACTTCTCTGCTACCACCAACTGGAATGGCAGTTAGGTGCCTGCTCAACCATGCTGGTGTCTAGGTACATTTGGAAGTATGAGAGAATAAACGTACTTGGGGCAACCTCGGACCACTGGGGACAAGAGCTAGTAAATAAATACCTCCTTTCCCACACCTCAGCTGGACAGTTTGAGGCATCTTCCATATGCTACTTAGTGGATCCCTGCAGGATTGAGACACAAGTTACCCATGATGGTAACCACTGTAGTGATGAACTCTGGGCTTGTCGTTCCTTTCTTCCTGGTTTCACTCTGCCTTGTCCCCATTCCAGTTCCCTAGAACATTTCCCCAAATAAACTTCCTGTTCAGTAGTCCTTGTCTCAGTCTGCTTTTGGGGAAAATGCAAGCCAAGATAGTTGCTAATCTATTTAAAATATAATGAAAAGGTAGAATTCTTAACCCATTATGGAGCAATTTTTTAGAAAAATAATTAAAAAGAGACTGAATTTTAATGGGTAAAAATAAATTCTGTGATATAGATTTCAAATCAAAGCCAGAGACACATCTTGGGAACGATTTCTGTTTCTTTACAGTGCTGAGATTTGCATTTGGGGAGTTATGTTGAAACTAACTGAATTTCTTAGGAAGTACATTTGTGAACTACCTACCTTCCAAATTCACATTCGTGATGCTTGTGGTGGTTTTTATAAACATTAATAACAAAAACACAGTTCCCTGAGAAATGAATGGTAATTAAAGACAACAGAGTGGGTTTAGATCAACAGACTTGAATTCAAGTCTACTGAAACTCAACAAAACCTTCCTCAGGATCTGCCCAAAGTACTTGACCCAGGGGGTAAGGTGTACACTAGAGGCAGGTGTGACCAAAGTCTGAACAGAAGTGAATTTGGCATCAAAGGAGCCCCTCCAAAGTATAGCAGTGTGCACAGGACTGAGCTGTACATATGGCTCGTGAGCCCACATGCAGTGCTTTGTGTTCATTTGAGCAAATTTAGTGCTCTACAAATGAGAAAATTGAAGCAGACAATGAGTTAGGGTTTAAAAATATTCAAAAACATGTTTTATTTTATGGTAGTTACACAAAGATAGAATACTCATAAAAATACAACTTGCAAAAAAAAGAAAATAGTGGAGGGTAAAATCTTCAGGATAACTTGGGGCAGTAGGGAAATTACTTCTGATTCTACCAAGTTTGTCTTCAAGTAGCATTGCTGGCAACAGACTAGCTTTAAAGACTGCCATAGCTATGTGAGTTCTGCCAAATCCCATGCTCTGTAAGGATGTGGTGGGAAGAATGATAGCTGGTATGTGAATAACAAGTAGTGTTTAAAAATAAAAGGTCCACTTGGTCCTCCTGAGGGGATCAGGATAACTCACATCCACAGAGAGTATACTGAGAACATAGTGCTGTTATAATGTGGGTGAGGAAACAGAGCAAGACCCGTCCACAGGAGACCCACAGGTGGAAATAAGTGGCAATGAATTCTGGAGCCCACTGGCTATTAGGCCACCCAGGCTGCAAGTTTTGATTTGCTGCTGTCTCGTTTTGTACCACTCCATTAAATAATGTTAAGTTTGAAAGTACATTTGTGGCATCTGAAAGTACAATGACTATACAGGTAAACATTAAATAGCTAGTGACACTTAGTGGTATGATAATCTAATACTGTCTGATCGGGAGTGCCTAACCTGTTAATAGTTACTACTTTGAAGGATTAGTGTCATGAAGAGTGGCTTCACTCTGAAGTCAAGTTAGAGTGGCCAGAGCCTGTTAGACGAGCAATGTGTATTTGGTATAAGTGCTGCTGCTGAATTCCTTTGGTAGACTTTGTTGTTGTTTTTATTTTTTTAAAGAAAAATAAAATCAATTTCTGGGTCGGCATCTGAGGTATTACGTTAAAAATAAGCACCAAAATTGACCTTCCCGACGCAAATGTGGATTTAGCAGAAAAGCACGTTCTGGGTCTTCCCACTCCTCTGACTGGAACTATCACAGGTTCTTCATGCACACCTGGCAGCGGCTGATGTGTGTCCTGATGAGCCCGGCTTTGAGGGTGTCGGCAGAGGGGGAGCTCTGGAAGTTCTGCTCCGGGATGGTGGTGAGCCAGAAGCTGTATTTGTTGGCATAGTAGTGGCAGGTCCCGCGAGCCCCATTGCATTCGATGAAAGGCGTGGCCCGGAAGTCCTCCAGACAGCTGCCTGGAGACACCAGTGACTGTCCACCACCTTCATCCCCCGCGGCCGTGTGCTGCACAGAGGGGAGGAGACACAGAGAAGGTTTGTAAGCAGAAGAAACTGCCAACAACTTAATGGTATCTGATTATCATCTGCTTTTGGGGGAGCTTTGTTTTTGCTAAACAAATTAGGAACATCTATCTAGGTCAATTCAGACCCAACTGCAACTTATCATTTAATGCACAGTGTTCAGAAATAGGGGCTAGGCAAAATCAATCACGGTACATGTTCACAAGGAGGAGAAGAACCCTGGGCCTTAGCATGTGCTGTGGGTGGTGTTTATTGACATAAATAGATGTGCATGGTGTGTTGTTAAGTAAAAACTACAGCAACAGCAAAAGCAGATTATAATCAGTACATAGAGTCGATTATATTTTGGTAAAAAAAGAGGAAAAAAAAAAAAAACAACCTATCTCATCTAGTCATAGAAAGAAAATGCAGCAGGACTGATACCAAAATGTGAATGATTTTGTTTTTTCCTAAAGGAAAAAAATACTGACCCTATGACAGCATCTCAGGTGATAAGTTAAAAGTAAGCACCAAAGTGGACCCTTCCTGCCCTCCTCTGGGAATGTTTATGATTAGATAATAAAGTAAAAGTGGTTTTACTTATTTTTTCTTTTAATTATTTAAAAAATCTCTATTTGCTGATTTTTCTACAAGGAATATGTATTACTTATGTATTTGATTTTGTTTTTCAATCAGAGAGTTGTTAAATAAGCCATTTGAAATAAGTGAGACTCTTACTCAGCTGCAGGCTAAGAGGCTGGGGAGGCGTCTGAGGGGAGATAGAAACCCAGTATCAGGGACAGCAATTATTATTAACTTTCAAGCCGTGTTTGTTGTTTGAGTTGACTCGTGACTCATAGTGACCCCATAAGAAGCTCTGGTGGTGAAGACCCCAATGAGGAGTCACTATGAGTCAGAATCAACTCGATGGCAGTGAGTTTTGGTTTTCTGAGTGACCCCATATAACAGACATAGAATACCCATGTCCATGGGTATTCTAGGCCATATCTCTAGGGAAGGAGTCCTGGCAGTCAAGTGGTTAAAATTCTTGGCTGCTAATCAAAAGGTCATGGGTTTGAACCCACCAGATGTTTCATGGGAGAAAGATGTGGCAGTCTTCTTCAGTAAGAATTACTAAAACTCCCTGCCATTGAGTCAATCCCGAGTCCTAGGAAAGGGTAGAACTGCCCCATAGGGTTTCCAAGGTTGTAAATCTTTATGGAAGCAGACTGTCTCATCTTCCTTCCACAGAGCAGTTGGTGGATTTGAACTGCTGACCTCTTGGTTAGCAGTCAAATGCTTTAACCACTGTGCCACCTGAGAAACCCTATGGGGGGGGCATTTCTACTCTGTCCTGTAGGGCCACTATGAGTTGGAATCCACTTGACAGCAGTGGGTTTGGTCTGGTTTGGTTACTCTTTATGGGAGCTGATCACCAGGTCTTTCTCCCGTGGAGTGGCTAGGTGGGTTCAAACTGCAAACATGTTGGTTAGCAGCCAAGGGCACCATCAGGGCTCCTTTTTTTTTCCATTTTAAAATTTGACTCTTTCAATTTTACAGTCTTTTAGCTTTTATTGGGGCTGTTGTTGTTGTTGTTGTTATATGCCGTCAAGTTGGCCCCGACTCATAGCGACCCATCCTTGGGTTTCCGAGGCAGTATCACTACTATTGGGGCTAGGTCTTCTGTATCTCAACGCAAGTATGTGTGTGTGTGCATACACACACGCACACACACACACACACATATTTATTTGACATGGTCAAGCAAGCTTTGAGTGGCAAATGAGTTGTCAGAACACAATGATTCAGAAGAGGAATATCTCAGCTATACTTTATAGGGTTTTTTTTTTTTTTTTTTAAACTATACTGTGATATATTAGGGCAGTAGCCCCAGTTTAGCCTTCTTAGGAAACAAAGCAAAACAGCAAAAGCAAAAACAAAATAAAGCCCTTTCAGAAATTTTCCATTGAAGGAGCACAGAACCTCTCCAACCCAAAGCTGTACCGTTCTTTTTAATGTAAATGTGTGGTGAGAAGTAGAGGATCCTCACAAGGCATCTCAGGTCTCAGGCCTCACTTTGATCCTGAACAGCTGAGGCCGTACTTGGAGCTGTAAAGTAATCCCTGGGAAGGACACCCCAAAGGAAGCCACCTGGGCAGTCAAGGCAGGAAGAAGTGCCAGGCTGGTCTGGGGTGGCAGTCCTGTCCACCTTGGAGGGACTCTGAGCCCAGCCTCTGCACATACACCATTTTCCCCTGGCTTTGGGACTAAAAATCCACTAATATATCTTAAGAGAATCACCTTGACAAGTGGCCGAACCCTGAGAAGTAACCTTGAACATTTTCACACCTAGTGTAGACCTCATAGTAGCCCAAATATTAAAAGAAAAAACTGGAACAATGGCTGGCTAGACGGTTATAGTCAGACTAGTTTTGAGAGAGGTCACTTTGTGAATGTGGCAGCTCCTGCTGCCTGTCTGTAGGCCACCTGTCTGCCTCCAGGAGCTCTGCTGCTCGTCCTAGGTCCCAGTCTGGCTCTCATGGGGAATGGAGAAAGCTCCTGTCATGAGGTCACTCACATTAGTGGACAGAGGAAGTGTGAGTAAGGTGAAGAGGTGGGCCTCAACACTGGTTTTGAATTCCTGCTGTGGACTAGTGAACAGCTATGTCTTCTTTCCAGCTCTCATTATGCTATGATGCCCGCAGTTCCTAAGCTCTAAAACTTGTACTCTACCTTTTAAGAGTGGATCAAAAGGCATTTAATGCACAGACAAGACACACAACAGTGTTCTCTGCATTTCGGGTTTAGGTCTTTGTCTCCTAACCAGGCAGACAGAGGCATATTTAGAGATCAGCTCATGTATCTGTCATTAATGCCATGAGGGAATTTATCTGTGGTTCTTAGAAGTAAAGGTATTTCAGATCCATCTGCCCCGACTTCCCGCTGTATTAGCAAGGCTAGAGGACTCTGTCATCTTATCACCCGTGTCTTCTGTGGAATGTCACGTTCCAGGCTAGCTTGGGTTATTAGGCATTTAAGCTAAGGATAATATGTGCAAATCCTATTAGTCTGCTTTAAAGATATTAATTTGAAACGTAATTGCCAATGAAAGAAGGGACTTCTCTGACCTTTCTAGGGTCTTGTGTAATCAGACTTCATAAAGGAGAAGGCTCATTTATTTTTGAATTTAACAATCAGAGTTAAAAAAATAAAAGAAACCAAAAACTTGCATCTTCCATTACATAGGGACACTAAGAAGGTTACTGAAACTCTGTGGAATGCCTCAAAAGGCACTTTAAATGATAAGCTTCTCAAAAAGTAGAATCTGTGCTTTGTCACCACATGGAATTTAGTAAGCTGTTTTCCAAATTATATCAATAGTATCTCTTAAGAATTTAAAAATATCAGTATTCATGTACCTTTTCCTTTAATATAGCTTTATCCTTTCTAAGAATCCAGGTTATTTCTGTTGTTTTGAAAAGATTACCAATCAGTATGTAATTTACATATTATATTATTTAAATGGAAGCAAGACTGGGCAATCTACTTTGGTAAAGATTTGATGCCTCAGAAACCCAATGGGGGTCTCTATGAGTGAAATATTTAATACATTGAGTATACTAGCAATATGATTGGAGTGATGATGATTATAATAAATGTCAATGGAATGGAAAGCCCACTGTCCTCAACTTGCCTTTCCTTTTCTCCCTACAAAGATTTACTAAGTAATAGAATTATAAGAGACAGTGATCCAGACCCTTCCCTTGATGTTAAGCTAAACATAAACTGGCAAAAATTTAAGTTTCTCTACCTTACAGCCAAAAAAAAAAAAAAAAAAATCTCACTGCCATCGAGTTGATTCCAACTCAGAGTGACCCCCATTGGGTTTCCAAGGCTATAAATCTTAAGGGAGAAGTAGAATGCCCCATCTTCCACCCATAGTTGATGGGTTTGAACTGCCAACCTTCTGGTTAGAAGATAAATGCCTTATTCACTATACCACCAGAGCTCCTTTATATCCAAAAGCTATCTGAAACTGGTATTTCAGAATTTTCCTAAGCAGTGTAATCAGTTTTAACTCAGCCATTTAATAGCTGTTTCTTAAGGGCATTCCAGGATTCTAGATAAAATTCTTCTAGATATTTAGTTTTCTGGTAAATCAAGGATAACTTTACCTTTGGTGTTGTGCTCGGTGATATGGACAACAGGCCAGACTTATCCTAACTCCGGTGCTGCTGCTGGCCCATACGTAGATATAGCAGCAAATGAAGGGGCTACCTCTAGGTAAGGGCAGGCTTGGGTCTAGGCATGTGGCTCACTTAGCAAAGTGCATGTTGTATCCCAGCTCTCATTCATCCTGTTGGCCAGGTGCCCTTGTGCAGTATACAACCTAAGCAGCCCTTCATGGCTGCCCTGATTGATTATTCTCACAAAGGTGGCTATTTCTGCAGTTCACCTAGCCAGATATGGTTGAGGAAAGGAACCAGATTTCAAGTTGGTTCCATGCTCTGAAAGAGAGTGGGTAAGTATCACATACCATGAGGAAGGAATAGCCAATCCATAAACTCCGCCATCCAGCTGGGCAGTGGGGGATGGAGACATCTTGACTGTGGACTGCTATAGCAACAGCTGGAGCCTCACACACAGAGCAGCGGCTGATGTAGGGCTTGATTTCATCTTCAGCGACAGGCATCATAGGTAGTGGCGCAGTGGTGGAGAGCCAGTAGGACTTGTCATTCCGGCTGGCGTAGTAGCAGATGTCACCAGGGTTGCAGTACAGGAAAGGCATAGTGCTGAACCGTGCCAGGCAGGAGCCTGCCAGTCCTGCCAGGAGAAAGGCATGCCTTGAAGTCACAACTGAGTGTGGCTGGGAAGATGCTCCTCCCAGCCCCAAGCCTGTGGACAATCCATATTCTGGCCTTGCCCTGTGCCCACGGCCCCCTGTGCAGAGTTCTGCCATGTACTGGGGAAGACGAAGCTAAAACATTTCAGCTTGTTTTTTTTTCTTTACACAGACTAGACTGGCATTAGCACCTTTGTTCTTCTAGAAGGTCTCACTCTAGAAGAGTGGTCTACCTCTGGACCAAGTCAGAAGTCAGATCAGCTGGGAGATGTATCTTTAGGGAACAGCCCTTCGGGTGAAACCTATGTTAAGGGAATGTTACGACAATCAGCCCTGAGTAAACCCTAATGGATTTCTATTATGAAGACATCTTCCATTGCATCCTATAAAGGCTCCCAGAAGAAATTCTGGCTGTTCCAAGGTATCAAATAGCTCTAATTCTTCTGGGTGAAAAGACTGATTTTACCTTATGGCCAGACTGATTTACTGTATTTTTCCGCATATAAAGTGGCTATGGAAAGCACACATGCATATAGCACACATAGGAAAGTGGGTTGCGTGGTTTGGAAAAAAACATAAAAAGCATGTTATTTGTGTGAAAATACAGTATATAACTAAGCAAGTCCCTTTTCACATTGACTTCTTAAAAGCTTAGAGCCAAATGTGTGGTTTATTTCAGCAAATATGCAAAGTACTATGGCATGCCTTTTTAGCCTCATTCCCAGCTCTACTTTATGTCCTTATCCTTGTTTGCTCTGCCCCACTTAATATAGATATACATATAAGTAGAACATATATGCAAGAATGTGTCCAAGTCATAAGAGTTTATTCAGTTTGACAAATATTTACAAACTGAACACAATGATGTAGTCTACACTGAGATCAAGAAACAGAACAGCATGCTGGAAGCCCCCTCATGCCCGCCCTGTGACTCCCCACAAAGCTAACCACTGTCCTGACAGCTAATATCACAGACTAGTGAGTTTCTCTCCCACCCACCATTTCTTTAAAATGCTTGTTACATTTCCTGTGCTCTTTTAAATCATTTAAATTTCCTTTGACACCCAGACTTACTGGAATAAATACATACACACATATATGCATATGTAAAACATGTATTTTCCTGGGGTTTCTCTGCAGGAAAGTCTGATGTTAATCTCAGCCCCTCCGTAGCCTCCAGTCTGACTGCAGCATTAGTTGCCTCCAGGTGGAGGGAGCAACATGTGGATAGAGCCTGCAGACGTTGATGTCATACTAAAAAGCAGGTCCCTGCAGAACTGCTCTGAGATTTAAGGGGTTTGTAAGACTTGCGCTTCAAAGGCCACTTTAATCTTTTCTGAAACCTCCAAGAATGTGGATTTTGTAAATGCCATCAATCAGCACAAATTCTTCAGTCTTAAAGGAGTTAATGAAGCTTACTGGGGCCTTTTGATCTTGATCACCCTTGGTGCCCAAGAACTGAGCAGGTCTGGGGGAGCTCCATGGGTGGGACTTACCCAGATCCTGGTTGTGGGCTTTCTCCTGGCCTTCAAAGTACAACAGGCTGTATCCACTCCAGAGCTTGTTCATGCCCACGGGGCACATGGGCTCCTGCTCTGTCTGGCTGTGCTTTACCAGGAGATAGCCGATGCTGACACTGCGGCCAGGCATGCCAGGCAGGCCTGGACTCCCCGGCCGGCCAGGTTCACCTAGGGCCCGAGAGAAAGCAGTTGTTCTTTTAAGTACGAGTTTTCATCAAGTCACATCTAACTCATGGTGATGCTGTGTGTATCAGAACCCTATGGTACTCCATAGGGTTTTCAATGGCTGATTTTTTGGATGGAGATACCAGGCTTTTCTCCTGAGACTGCTGGGTAGATTTGAACCTGCAACCTTTAGTTAGCAGCCAAGTGTGTTAATAGTTTGCACCTTCAGGGACTCCAGTCACCTTTTTAGTTGCCTTGAAAACCTCAGGTCCACAGTGGCAGGCAGACCTGTTCATGACATCACAAAGATACATTTCGAATATGCTATTCTTTTTTCCCTCCAAAGCTTGGGTCTCAGTGGCTTTGCCCTTTTTAGACAAAGAGCATCTTTGGAAAGATTTAGCCTAAATTTAGAACTCAGAAAAAGTGAACTAATGATAATGGTGATGCTAAATACATAGGATGGATCTTTTCCAAGAAAAGATTCTGAATGCTGTACACGTTCAGGGTGTACCCAACACTGAGAGAGAAGAACTAGAACATCTTGAAATTCAAAGGGTCCTTAGAAGTATCTCAGTGCAGCCTCCCATCCAACGCATGAATCTCCTCTGCCCTAGAGAGCAGGCCTTCCTTTGCTGGACACTTCTAGGGAGAGGCAGCTCATTACATGCTGTGGCAGTTATGTTTGTGTGTCAACTTGGCTGGGCCTGATTCAGTGGCTGGGCAGCTGGATGTAGTTATTCCCCATGGTAAGACTGGTAATTAACTCCATGGTGGAATGTATTGGAACAGCTAAGCAGCTGCTTTAGGGATGTGGTCTGCTTTCTGTATTAAGAAGCAGCCTTGGGAATGATCTCTAGCTTATGGCATGTTTGAACCCTGCATGTAACCATGTCATTGTTCAGCAGCCTGCCATGCTCTGCTGACCTTGGGACTTTCAATGGACTTGAAGTAATGGCCTGCTGTGTGGTTTGGTAACATCGGGATTGTGCTGTTTTATTTGTTGACCTTGGGCTTGTTAGCCTCAGCAGCCAGTAGCTGCCTGAATGAAGAGATGCCTCTAGCTTCAGTGGGCCAGGAACAAGAGGCAGAGCTGAAGCCCAAGGTCAAGGGTCTTCCACCCAGCCCCTAGAGCCTGGCACTTTGAATTCAGACTTCCATCCTCCTGAACTGTAAGAGAATAAACTGTTCAAGCCATCCCATTTGTGGTATATTCTTGTCAGAGTGGCACTAGGTAACCAGAATACATGTCAAGCTCATTCCCCATTTGGATCACTACAGGGGTTAGAACATTCTTTCTCACGCTGAGCTGAAATCTGCCCCCTATAATTTGATTCTTCTTCTGAAGTCCAACAGAATGTCCCACCTGTCTCCTCATGACAACCTGTCAAATATTTGAAATCAGCTCCTCCTACTGATCTTGTCTTCCCGCTGTCCCTCCCTTCTCTGAGGGACATTTTCAGTATCTCTTTCCTTTTCATATGACATTATCTCTCCATCCTACACTACCTTAGTTTCTACCCCTGGAGGACTCCAATTCATCAATATTTGTCTTAAGATGTGGACCTCCCATGTTACCATTCTCTGGCCATAGTTCAGTCCCTGTGGAGGAAGTGGGTTATTGTTTCCTTTGATGACATTAGTAATGTAGCTGTCATTTAATTACCACAGCTGCTCAGACAATTAGGTCAAACTGAGCTCAGGTATATTGAAGTAAATCTCAAGCTTTTTTGTTTGTTTGTTTGTTTGGCATGAGTTACTATCTTGCAGGAGCCCTGTGGCCTCAGTGGTTAAGCACTTGGTTGTTAACTGAAATGCCAGTGGTTCAAATCCACCAACCACCCCGTGTGAGAAAGATGTGGCAGTCTGACTCCGTGAAGATTACAGTCTTGGAAACACTATGTGGAAGTTCTCCTCTGTCCTATAGGGTTGCTATGCATTGGAATCAACTCCATGGCAATGAGCTTTTATCTCATCCTGCATATGTGCAAATAATTTTAAGAAATAAATAATGCAGGACTTTATAATGACCTGTTAATTTGTTTCTTTTAGTTTTAGCTTCCCAGATCTTTAGGACTCCTGACTCTGACAGTATATGGATTATGCTTCCAGCTATGATGCACCTGCACACTTCTCCAAGGAAGGAAGTGTGCATATTCTGAGCACTCTCTCTGTACCCAGTGTCCTGTGGAGGCACACATGTCATGGAGCACGCCCAGCAATGAGTGCTATTGCAAGGGCCTTAGGAGAGAAGCTAGCATGGATGGAAGGGCAGAAGAGTGTGGGAACTTCTTACCTCTGTCCTTTCTTAGTACTAATTTATTTATGGAAGCTCTGGTGGTATAGTGCCTAAGGCATTTGACTGCTAACCAGAAGGCTGGCAGCTCAAACCCACCAGCCACTCCTCAGAAGGAAGACTGGGCGATCTATTTCCAAAGAGATACCACCTCAGAAACCCAAGGAGGGGCTGGTATGAGTCAGAACCAAATGAAACCCAGGTTGGAGTCTTGGCTAATGCACTACATATGCTGTCAGTGAAGGTTTATGTGTTGCTATGATGCTGAACAGGTTTCATTAGAGCTTCTAGACTAAGATGGACTAGGAAGAAAGGCCTGGCAATCCACTTCCAAAAATCAGCCAGTGAAAATGCTATGGATCACAAGGGTCTGATCTACAACTGACTATGGGGCTGCTGTCCGACTGGGTAGTGTTTCATTCTGTTGTACATGTGGTCGCCATAGGTCAGGGGCCATCTCCGTGTCCACTAACAACAAGAATTTATTAGATCAACAGTGGGACATGGAAGAATCCCTCTTCCCTCTTTCTGGTTTTATCATTTATCACTTACCTTCTTGACCAATTGGCCCCTGATGACCCATGGGTCCCTGGTCTCCCCGGAATCCTGGATCAGCAGCCATACCACCTCTTCCTTGGAGTCCTGACTTTCCTGGTGCCCCACGAAAACCTGCACAGCCACCAAAATAAGTATGAGCACAACTGGAGACAGTGACAGTGCTTGGCATAACCAGTGCTTAACAAATGCTTTTTAGCAGGAAAATAAAAATAGGAAAAGAAACCTTTCCCTGGAGACGCTACAGGAAGGGTTTCGGGCCAGCTCTCTGCTCCTACCTGGTTCTCCTGGAGGGCCCCGGGGCCCCATCTCTCCCTGTGCACCAGGAGGACCTCTCCTTCCATGGGGACCCAAAGTCCCTCGTTCAGCAGCTATCTTCTGGGGGATTCCTGGAATTCCTGGGGATCCTGAAGAACCGGGGGAACCTGGAAAGGAAGAAGAAAGCCCACAGTAAACATGTGAGCACCCTTTTGTTTTCTTATTTTGAACTCTAGTTTTATCCCTTGAAACAATCTTAAGAGCTTCCTAGAAAAATCTTATTTTCCAGAGATTAGACTGATAAAAAGCTCATCTGAGAGGTAGCTCAGTGCCTGCCACTTTAAAAAAATTAATATACCATTCACCCAACCCCTGTGAGGGCAACAGCAGGCTCAGCCTATGTCTCATTCTTGGTTTTCCATTTGCTATTTAGACTTTGTTGCTCCACACCAAAGAGGGTTATGATTATCTGAAATTTAGTGCTGTCTGTAAGCCAGAAGGGCAATGGCAGGGCCAGGAACAGATTCCTGGGAGTCCACTCATGGCCACAGGTTTCTTGAGATGATCACCTCCGCAACTGTGCAGATAGCCACTCACCAGGGAATCCTCTGTCTCCTTTGGGTCCTTTAGGGCCTCTGTCACCCATACTTCCTGTTGCACCAGTGTTTCCCATGAATCCTTGTTCACCTCTGGGTCCTACAATACAAATAGGTCATTAGGGACATGCATCTCTCTATAGAGAGAGTGACTCCAGTCAACCACAACCAATGCTGTCTATCCCCTGATAAGAGAGATTCCTTAGGCTTCCGCACAGTTACCTTTTTCTCCAGGGAGACCAAACACACCGGGTCTGCCTTGGGGTCCAGGGTCTCCCACCCATCCTTTTGTTCCTGCGTTTCCCAGAGCTCCCGGATTCCCTGCATCTCCTTTGCCCCCAGGAAAAGCAGCAGGTCCAGGTGGCCCAGGTGGACCTCGGTAACCTGTCAACATCCAGCATAAGAAACAAGAGTTTAAACAGCATCTTGAGGAAGGAAGATGCTGGGAGACTCACATCAGGCCACGAGATGCCAAGGCCATTCACTTAGTGGATTACTTCCGGCTCATGTTTAACACGGGACAGTCCTATCCTCATACCATCTCTTTTCAATACTCTGCTAATATATGTGGTTAGTGTATGTGAATTAAATTTAACATTTGTCTAAGTGCGATGGAATGAAGAAGAGGAAACCACTGCATATTGTAAGTTTCCAAGTTCATTGCAGTTTTGAATATCTGATCCCATAGCAAGGACTAAACACAGACTGTAATTTGATTTCCTAGTGACTGTGAAAGCAGAAATAACTGAGTATTGTGCTTGTGATGAAAATAAGCGTGGTCTGGATGTGCAGTAACAGCCACTGACCCTTACCATGCCTTGGCTAAATGGGCGATCCCCAGCTCCTGCTCCAGAGATTTCAATGCACAAATGCGTAAATCCTACTTACCTTGTGGGCCAAATATCCCTGGTGCCCCTGTGTCACCAGGTAACCCAGAGATATTGGAAGGGGGAGTGATGCCTGGAAATCCCTGCAGCCCTCGACTCCCAACTGGGCCTCGTTCCCCTTAGGAAAAAAACAAAAGGCATTACTTTTAATGTCAGCATCAGATTTCTCTACCTATTATTTTCCTTTTATGGTATCACCTGTCAAGGAGCAGAGCCACTAAGGACGAGACAGTGAAGATGTTCTGAGGCCAAGGAACAGCCCAGGGCTGCACACTCTCAAGGTGAAAGTGGGGAGGCTGGGCCATCTGAACCATCGTCAGGGTAGCTTAGCCCTCACCTCTGACCTGCCTGATGCTCCTCCTCAGAGACACTCGGCCACCACCAGTCCCAGGACCCATCTCTTATTGGTTCTTTTCCTCATGTGCACTCTACTTGGCTCCTGTGATTGCTTGGCCATGCCTCAGCAAGAGCCTCTGCGATAGGCTTGGCAAAGAAACTAAAACTCAAGCTCCTCTATATTGCTAGTTGTTGATAGTTCTGTCAACACATGTGATGGGATGAAAGATTACAGTATTGGCAAAATGAGGCTTATAGACCACATTCATATATATTTTTTAACATTCTCCCTCTGACTTTCTTACAGCATTTTGGATCTCAGCTATCACTGGTTGACTCAAAGGCATCGAAAGAGGACAGACTTTTGAGGGAAATCACCCAAATAAGGAAATCTGTATTATTCAGGATATTCATTGAGTGACTACTATGTGCCTAGAGGGGTGCAGTTGCTGCACGTGCCCTGATGAGTGGAAGCAGACATGTCGCCTGCCTTATGGAGCTGAAGATTCAGAGTGGAAGATCTGTAGTTTCTGTCCTAGTCACTATGCTATGTAATTTGTTTTTCATGAAGGTCTGGAGAGTAAGGGATTAATACTAAAAGACTGCAAAACAAACAAACAAACCAAGAATATCAAAGCATCCAAAGACAGCCTCAAATCAATGCTAATGGAAAACGATAGTTGGGGCAATCCATTGCAAATATTTGAAATTCAAAAAGAGGAAAAAACAGTGGTTTCTTGTATCCTCTACTCTCTGTATCTGCATGACTATGTATGCCTATCAGTGACACTAAGAGATTGTCATATTGGAAGATTTTGCTATCCATCACAGGGGAAATGATTCTATTTATACATGCTTTTGAGTGGGATGAAGAAAACAACACCAAGAGAAACAACTGAGAAAAGTATCTCTGTAGTCAAACTGACTACAGCAAACAAGCAAGTGGCTTTATTAGACCTGCGGGGTTTAATGAGTGGCCATCTGTAGTTTGATATAAAATGACACCAATTGAGCTTCTTCTAACTATTATCACAAAGTAACCCAAACAGATGGTAAGCGTCAGTGAATAACAGCAAAAACTTCTGAGTTAGATGATCCAGTCAAATCCCTAGATTGGCCCAATTCCCACAAAAACATAATTAACTTAACTACAGTGATTAGGATTCTGTTAATGAGAACTTTTAGCACACAGAAGTCGCTTTGCTCGAATCAGAATCAAAATAATTCTGTTTTTTCAATAACCCCCATGGATCTTCATAACTACTGAAATAAAAAAAAACCCTGACTCATGGAGATTCACTGAAAAGCCATTTTGCATAACTGATAACCAAGTCATGAACTGACACTTGAATGTCAGCTACAGAAATAGTTGAGGCTGCATATTCTAGTTTAAATGCCTGAGATGAAACTCATCAGAGGGAAGACAATAAATTGGAATTATTCCCATAGTCTTAAAGAAGAATAAGAGTCCGGACAGGCTATCTGTGAATGTCACTGTTGTTGTTGTTGTTAAGTGCCGTCGAGTCATTTCCGACTCACAGCGACCCCATGCACAACAGAACGAAACACTGCCGGATCCCACGCCAGCCCCACAATCCCTGCTATACTTGAGCCCATCATCGCAGCCACCATGTCAATCCATCTCGTTGAAGGCCTCCCCCTCTTTCGTTGACCCTCCACCCTACCAAGCATGACATCCTTCTCCAGGGAATGGTCCCTTCTGACAACATGACCAAAATACATAAGCTGAGGTCCAGTGGGCAGAATGGAGCATCTCTTCTGCTCTGGACTCCAGGAACTGCTCTGACGTCACCAGCTCCTGGCTCTTGCATTGGACCACTGTGATTCCATGTAGCAGAGAGGTTGGGGGGGGGGCAGTGGCTTTAAAAAAGAGGCACTATTCCTTAGAATTCTTTGGAAACAGGAGATATGTTCTAGGCCTCTTTGATGGAATGCAGAAAACCACACAGTAGGTTCAAGAAGAGTTTTGGTAAATTGATGGTGCAGGGATGGAATAAAAGAAACTTAATACAGAATATAAATGATGAAAGAGTAGCCAAGAGATTCTGCAATAAGAAATCTTCTCCAGAGAAACCAGGGCTTTCCACTTCCTTCCCACTCATCTCTCAGACTCATGCAGATATTCTGATGACCCAATCTTTTGCTGAGATCTGGCTGTTGTTTGCTGGAGAGTCAATTCCAACTCATAATGACCCTATAGGACAGAAGAGACTGCCCCATAGCATTTCCTAGGTCTGGTGGTGTAGTGCCTAAGGCATTTGACTGCTAACCAGAAGGCTGGCGGTTCAAACCCACCAGCCACTCCTCGGAACGAAGGTTGGACAATCTACTTCCGTAGAGATACCGCCTGGGAAACCCAAGGAGGGGTCGCTATGAGTCTGATCTGACTCAACAGCAAAGCGTTACATTGTTTTGTTGTTAATCTTTATTAGAGGAGATCGCCAGTTCTTTTCTCCTGCCAGTCTTTTGGTTAGCATCCACCAGGGCTCCTTGGGCTCTGGTTAGGTAGATAGTAATGTTTGCTTTGAAAATGTCTGGCCTTACCTGGTATTCCTTGCTCTCCTTTTTGTCCTGGTATTCCTGGAGGGCCTGGAAAGGTGTTGGGCTCCCCTGGGTCACCCCTGTCCCCAGTAGTACCTGGGAAACCTGCGTCCCCACTGATGTCTGCACCTGTGGTAGAGTTAAAACAGCAGCTGACGTCAGCATTTTCCAACCATGCAATGTTAATACAATAACATAAGTTATTCCATAAGTGAAATGACATTAATGCGTCTCAAAAGCAGAAAAACAAAAGACAATCAGGGTGACTTTGGTAGTGAAACACTACTTAAATTCTTCCCAGGTCATGTGTGAAACACTCCAAGTATTTGCCAGCAGCAGCAATACGACTTGACAGTTTCCCTTCATTTTTGCCCATTTGAACTGGAACTAAAATGTTAACTGGAGCAGGAGTGTGTGAATTTATAAATAACATACACACATGTAAATTTACCTGCAGTTATGAGTATTTGGTTCCATAATAACACTCTAATGGCAGCTTTAGGATTATGATTTTTTTCTTCTTTAAATGTATTTTCTAATTTTTCTCCACTGAAAAGGAATAACTTTTATAATTGGAAAAGTAAATAATAGAAGTCTTTTTTAAAAAAGATACACTATTCCATAATAAAGTGGTATTTTCCTCTCACTGCCCTATGCCCTACAAATGTTATTTTATGAGTGCAGCAAATAAATTTTAAAATGCAAGGAAAAGACAAGGTTATTAAAATGAAACTTAAAGACGTTTCTAAGAAGCTATTGAGCCTTTCCATATGTGCCATGGCAGCTTTTTGGGGAGAGCAGAGCTAACGGGAAGATTTCTGCAGAAGACACAAAAGAAGATGTTCCTTTTTTTTTTTTTGGAGTAACTCAAGATCTGATGGTACTGTGTTATCCCATAACCAAAAAAAAAAAACCAAACAAACAAAACCTCAACCTGTTGCCCTTGAGGCGATTCTGACTCATAGTAACCCTATAGCACAGAGTAGAACTGCCCCCACAGTTTCCAGGCTGTAATCTTTACAGAAGCAGATGACCACATTTTTCTCCTGAGGAGCAGCTAGTAGGTTTAAACTACTGACCTTTTGGTTAGCTGTTGAGTGCTTAGCCATCGCACCACTAGAGCTCCTCTGTGATATTCCAGAAGGGAATAATAAAGCAGACCTTATTCTGTCATCGGAAGGAAGACTAGGCAATCTACTTCCATAGAGATACTGCCTCAGAAACCCAAGGAGGGGTCTCTGTGAGTCGGATTCAACTCGATGGCAGTGAGCGGTGGTAGTGGTGATTCTGTCATTGGCTTGGGAAACACTGGGGCTTTGAATCTCCATGAAGAAAAAAAATGCACTAGAATATTTTATTAATGCTACAAAAAATGCTATTAAAGGTATCAACTTATTTTGACTATGAAACAAAAAATCCCTGGTAAGTCATTATCACTCTTTCAAAGCATAAGAAAAGCCCCAGGGACAGATCAAGTACCAACTGTCTACCTCATGCCAATGAAAGGAAGATTGCAAATGTAGCTTGGATGAAATGAAAATTTTGGACAAGTGAGGGGCACCCATGCATCTTAAAGATCCCAAGATGCTATCTGAAAAGCTAAACAGTTGTTTTTCTCTCCATCAAGGGTCATTCATAGATCCATTCAACATAGTTTTGGGTTTAAAGAGGTGAACCTTTAAGATCTCATCTCCAGATGTCTGCAGACCAACGGAGATTCTGGGTTCTCATGGTCACTCTCATTCAGCCCGTCAGTAATGATAAATTAGTCCTTCAAGAAACTCATCCTGCTCTCCAAGATCCCCCTATCCCTATAGTCTAGAATGGCACACATGTTGTTAATCCAAAACCAAATTTACTGCCATCGACTTGATTCCAACTCATAGCAACCCCCATTGCATTTCTGAGGTGGTAAATCTTGATGGAAGTAGATTGCTCCATCCTCCTTCCGTGGAGCAGCTGGTGGGTTTGAACTGCCAACCTTATGGTTAGCAGTCAAATGTCCTAGGCACTGTGCCACCAGAAGTCCTATGTTCTTATTAGGTGCCACCAAATCAATGTCCCACTCATAGCGACCCTATATGACAGAGTAGAACTGCTCTTGGGGTTTCCTAGGCTGTAATCTTGATGGAAAGAGATCACCAGGTCATTTCTCCTATAGAGTGGCTGGTGGGTTTGAACTGCTGAACTTTTGGTTAGCAGCCCAATGCTTAGCCATCACGCCACCAGGGTTCTTTATGGTATACATAGTACAGAGGTATAGAGAACTGCTGTACTGCTGGGTATAACTGAGCAGGTGAGATGACTAGTAAGTACCTGGGGATCCTGGAAAGCCTTTGGTGCCTGGCAAGCCATGTAATCCACTGAGTCCTCGGATACCTGGAAAACCTGCAAGAATTCACACATAATTATTTCATGCAGAGGAAAGGATAGAGGACTTCTGGTAGAAACCCTTCCATTAAATTAGAAATATTTTAATTTGCTATGATCCTGTGCATCTATACTATTCAAAGCCCCTGCAAATATGTAGCAGCTAAGGATGTAAATGACTCACTTTTATGATGCTCAGGAAAACAGTTTAACATTAATTTTTTTGTTGTTTTTTTGTTTTTTGTAGACTTGTTATAACCAGAAGGGAGCTGGGAAGGGATATGTTCCGTTCTCTTCCTGCCACTTGAGTCACTGGTATATATTTGGTTTGTAAAAACTGCTGGGAACAAACAGCCCAGCATGATTTCCACTCCCTCTGGATTTTCGAGTATAAACATCGCTAAAGTAGGACACTGGAAACAGGCGACGGTTCTTTCTATGATGTGGGTAGTGAGTGTGGCCAAATGAATGAGGGTGATGGCAGGGATTGTGGAGGCGGAGTGGACCATCTTTAATTCTGTGCCAAGAGAGAGAAGCCAAGGGCCTGCATTACTGATGGGCTGGTGCCAGGCAACCTTGAACCTCCAAATCCTGCCCAGTGGCTTGGCCAGCCCTCCCTGGTGGAAAAATGGGGAAAATGACATCTGTCCCTTGATCTCTCCCAAGCACTGCCACTGGCATGACTGACAAGTGGGCCCAAATGCCACTTGGGGAGGATTTTCATCGATATTTTCTGGGAGCAAACACTTCTTTGCAGGTTAGTATGTTTTGACTGACTCAGACATCTGCAAACCCTGTCCTGAATGTGTTTTTGTGTCTATAGTAAACTACTGACAATCTCCTTTTATCTCATACAAGCTTATAGAAAACAACTTGAAGAGAGGCCAGCCTGGCTAAATGATGCCTCTTCGTAACTACGGCAACTCCGGCTTTGACTAATCATTTGCGTTTTGTGTTTCTGCTAAGGAAACAATCATTTTACCTGGCAATCCTGGAGCCCCTTGCCAACCATAGTCTCCTTTTTCACCAGGTAGTCCAATACGTCCTGGATCCCCCTGTGGTCCCTGAAGTCCTGTTAAACCTGGAAAGCCTAGGGGGTAAATAGATCATTAAATCTGAGCACGTAAGGAAAACCATCTCCAGACGCTTAGAAGAGACCTTGCCTGCAGCTTCAAGTTCCCTGTCCTAGCTGGAGGGGAAGACGGTTTGTAGTACTGACTGAAGAATACTGGAAGATGCCAGCTGCAAGTCTGACTGATATTAAGTACCTTTCCGTCCAGCATGAAATGCCTATGGCCTTAAATAGCCACATTCAAGTTTAATATGATCAGCTTAGCTTTACCAAGGAGAAAATGGCTTGTATTTTTCATTCTTATCCTATCATCCAAATATAAATTTTGAGACTGAAGAAAGCCCATGAAATGGCTCCTTGAGAGATTTTGTCCAGTCTCTGAAAGTTCACAAGTGCTGGATAAAAACAACAACAACAACAAAAAAAAAAAGCATGAAGCTAGGTCATTGTCTGCTTTCCTTCACTAAATCAGGATTCACAAATGAATTTCTGCATATTCTAATGCATGAAAAGGAATCCTTTAAAAAGAACTCAGTCTGTTTTTTTATATAAGATATGGATGTTTGGCTACAGACATCTTTTTTGTTATTTCCTTATGCTTCTCTCTGTTGCTGTAGCCCCCCAGCCCCCCGGCCACAGTGGTCTTTGGGGTACAGTCTTCTGACCTTTTCTCTCCATGTTATTGGTACTGATGCACAGCTAGATGAATGCACAGCATCCAAAAGCAAGTTTCCTATAGTGAGTCAATTGTGGCAGAAAGGAAATAGGCAAAATTGGCCACCTCTGCTGTGAAGGTCTTGGAGACTTGGAGTCAGGGTAGTAGGTGGGTTTCAGCTGCACTTACCCCACACCTATGACTACACTTCCAGCCATGGCTGGAAGAAAAGGAAAACATTCATTTGAAGACAGTTTGGCTGCTGGAGATTTTTTTTTACCTGTTTGTCCTTTAAATCCAGAAGGACCCTGGGCTCCTTTTATGCCTGTTATGCCGGGGAAGCCAATGTTGCCTTCTGTTCCTTTCTCTCCAAAGATTCCCTTTTGACCTGTGATGAAAGATTTTCTGCTTGATGTTGTGCCAAAGTGGAACTATTTAGGGTTAGTGGAGAAGCTAGTTAAGGGATACTGCAATACCATATTAATACTCTTCTGTTTGGGGATGGAAAAAACATCATTGTCTAAGCATGTTTCTTCTCTTATTAATTTTTTTTTACCCTAATTTCTCCCTCTGAGCCTGTGGTAGCCAGCCTCTAAGCAATCTCTGCTGCCTGGTAGTCATGCCTTCATGTAGTCCCCTCCCACACTAAATAGGGCCAAATTGTGTAGCCAATGGGATATTATAGAAAAGACAGAGTGTGACTTCAAGGCTAGGCCATCAAATTCACTGCTGCTTTTACTTTGTCCTCTCTGATCACTCACTCTGGTGGAAGCTAGCAGCCATGCTGCAAGAACAGCCAAGTAGTCCAAGGGAGTGGTCCATGTGGCAAGGAACTCAAGCCTCATGCCAACAGTGATGTGAGTAAGCCATCTTGGAAAAGGATTCCTTAGCCCCAGTCAAGGCTTCAGATAACTACTGCTCTGGCTGACATCATGACTGTAATCCCATGACAGATTCTAAGTCAGACCACACTGCTCCCACATTCCTGACACTGTATGAAATAATACATGCTGACTGATGGTTTAAGCCACTGCATTTTGGGGTACTTTGTTAAACAGAATGAATAGATGACTAATCCAGAGCTCTTATCACAGTGATTTTCAAAGTATAAGATGCCAGGGAAATCTCTTGGGGAATCTGTTCAACATACAGATGCTTGAGCCACTCCCCAGAGGTGATTTGGTAGGTCTAGGGTAAGGTCTGGAATCTGTGTTTTAAGCAAGCATCTCATGTGTATCTATGGTGGTCACTGGCACTTTAAGAAACTCTGTCTTCACACTTAGGACAATGTTCTGTCAAATGTTTTGGTATTTCTGATACACTGTAAGATTTTGGTGGCTGCAGACTAAACCTGAATCTCACTTTTGTTTGGTGTCTCCTTAAATCTATGAAAATATTGCTGCACTTAGAAAAATAATGTTTTTATGGTCTTGAAGAAAAATCACTCAAGAAGTTCTGCAAACTTCATAATAAAAAGTTTTTTTAAAAAAGAAGTTCTGCTTGTTTTCTGTTGATTAATGTTTTAAAAATGGGCTCAAAACTATTATTGACACAGTGCATCTTCTTTCATAAACCATTCTATCATCTTCACCCAAATTGTTTAAGTCCAGCATAGCTTGTTGTCTCATCCTCAGAGAGACCTGACCTGAGCCTAAGCTACTCAGTGCCACCCTGTGTCTGAGGATTGATCTGATCTAGGAAGATGCTTCATGGTCCACACCATGTCTTGCACAGGACATGGCTCTGTGGCTGACCCACATACCTCACTTGTCTTAGGAAAAATGGAACACCCTCAAGGAAGGCTGATAGAACTGTCACCACCACTCTGCCTCATGGGACCACAATTCAGAGATACAACCTCCTGGTGACAAACATGATGGAAGACTCTACTTTAAGGTTTTTCTAGGCCAACAGTTTAACCAAAACATCAACATTCAAAGTGTAACAACAAAAATAATTCTTGGGGGAGGTAGTCTCTACTCTCCAACACATTTTGAGTTGAATAAATGAAATGATCCTTGGTGACATATGTGGTAAAGATGGTTTCACATCTTTGTTTTTATAAACCAAACTGGCAGAGAAATTATTTAGGATGAGTCAGCCAGGAGAGAACCAGATGGCTCTGCAGCCCAGGCTATCCCTATTGCTCAGGGAGTAAATTCATCCGTAGATGAAATTATAGAACAAAAAATTAGCCCAAAATGGCTAGTAAAATGAGGTTGCCGATTTTTAAGTGATATTTCTATGATCCATGCTAGGATGCCTATCATTTCCCATGCTGGAGCTTTTATAGATTGAGAACTTGTTCAACATCTTCTCATGTGGACAGACTTTTCCATTCCCACCAGTGCCATCTCTAGAAGGACTTGGAGCTCTGAACAACTTAATTAGTGTGGGGCCCTCCCAGGATTAAACAAAACACAGACACACACACACACACACACACACAGTGAAAGAAAGCATCTATTGCAGACTCTTTTGGATATTATTAATGGCAGAAATTTTGACTTTGAATTGTAATGATGCTCAGAAAAAAGGAGTAAGATGATGTGCTCCACAAGACCCCTCCAACAAGCACAGGGCTCTGGTAGCTGCTTCTATTGCCTTACTCAAGAGAGTGGCTCTGGCCTGGCTACCAATGCCAACCACTCAGAAAGGGATCAAAACTGGAGATCTATATCAAGTGGGAGAAAAATGTGAAACAAAACTCAAAATCATATGAAAGACCATGCATATGGGTCTGATAGAGACTGGTGAAACCCCTAAGACCATGGCTCTGAGTCACCCTTTGGGCTTGGAATTGAACTCACTCCTGTGGCTTCACTCTCAGTCAAACAATAGACAGACAGACCTACCAGCTGAACACTTACACCAGGGAGATGCACCCCCTAGAACAATCAACCCTGTGAGATCAGAAAGGCAGCATTTACACGGGGAGAAAGGTAGGGAGGCAGGAATGCACAGGTGCAAAGGGCACAGGGAAAGGCTAACCACAGGGAGGAAGTGGGAGGAGAGCTGTTACACTGCAGGGAATGTAACCAGTGCCACAAAATAAGATGTTTATGAACTACTGAATGTAAAATGAATCTGCTTTGTAAAAGTTTACCCAAATCACAGTAATAGTTTAAAAAAAAAAAAAAGGAAAGAAAGAATGGCTCAACTCTTGTTGTTGTGTGCCGTCGAGTCGAACCCAACTCATAGCGACCCCTCCTTGGGTTTCCGAGGCAGTATCACTATGGAAGTAGATTGCCCCATCTTCCTTCTGAGGAGTGGCTGGTGGGTTT